AGTGTTTTGTGAAGTGCAAAGGCTCAAGTCCGAAGCCCGAAGCCCAAAGTCGAAGAGTGTCTTGTGAAGTGCAAAGTGTAAAACCGGTCTCGCTAAACTGCAAAAAGCCCAACGAGAGGTGAGAGCCTCGCGCGCACAGGACGTAGAGGTGGGCATACCTGACTCTAACACCAACTCTCGCGGGATTTCACCCTCCACACACAACCCTCCAGTCTAGACACGCCTCTTGCAAGACCGGGTTATGCTAGTTGACGAAAGTGGGTGGCTACTTCTAGTCCTTCTTCCCGCCACCGGCAACGGCGCGGCGCGGGCGCTCGGCCACGCCGGTGCCGGTGGCGGTTGCGGCGGCGGCAGCGTCGCCCGGCGTCACCTTCTGCATGGCTGCGGCGACAGCGGCCTCGACAGCTGGCCCGACGGCGGCGGCGACAGCTGGCGCGACGGCGGCGGCGGCGGCCTCTGCGACAGCAGGGCCGAGGGCCTCTTGGACAGCTCGGGGAATGCGCGCCTCGAGGGCGGCGACGGCCGCCGCGATCTTCGATTTGGTTTCGGCGCGCATCTCGACCTTGAGCTCCTCGGAGAGCCCCTGCCGCAGGCCGGCGGACGGGAGGTGAGCTAAGTCACGGCCGGGAAGGGACTGGACTGGCTGCTACGTAGGAGAAGCGGTGGCGGTAGCGAGGGAGGCGGGGGCGTGGGCACCCCTGCCGGCGGCGTCGTCGAGCTGCCCTCACCCTCCTCGCTCTTCCCCTTGTCCTTCTTCTTCTTCTCCTTCTATGCGGTGGCACAAGCAAGGGCTTGTGAGATACGCGGGGCGGGCTTGCTGGGGGCAGGCTGGGCGGCGGCGGGGGCAGCGGCGAGGGCAGTGGCGGCAGCGGCGAGGGCAGTGGCGGCAACAGAGGTTCAGGGGACGACAGCGGAGGCGACACTCGGCGTGACGGTGGCAGCGGATTAGCGGAGGGCGGGCTGGGAGGCGGTGGCGACGGCAACGGCGGGGCGGGCTTCGGCGGTAGAAGCGAGGGCGGCGGTGGGCTCGGTGGTGGTAGGGCGAGGGTGGCGATGGAGGCGGCGGCGACGGCGGCGGATGCGACAGCGGCGGCGGACTCGGTGGTGGTGGGCTGGAAGGCGGTGGCGAGGGTCACGTCGAGCCGGTTGCCAGCGTCGATCCACGCCTGCACCGCCTTCTCGTCCACCACCTCGGCGCCAGGCTAGGCGGAGGCGGTAAGGGCGGCGGAGAGGAGGGCGGCGGCGGGCTCGGGGGCGGTGGCGAGGGCGGTGGTGGTGGTGATCGGAGGCGGTGGTGGGGCGGCCGGGTGGGAGGCGGCGGCGACGGCGTAGGCAGGTGGGCGGCGGGGGCGAGGTCTGGGTGGAGGCAGCCGCTGGTGGTAGGCGGCGGTGATGCGCGGCGGTGAAAGAGGCGCTGGCGAGGGAGGGGCGGGCGGAGCACCTTGTCAGCCTTGTCCTTCTTATGCTTCTTCCGATCCTTCTTCTCGCCCGCCTCCTTCTCGACCTTCTGGCGCTTGCGGGCAGCCTCCTCCTGAAAGTCGGCGAAGCTGCCGGTGTCGCTGCGGCCGGAGTCGCTGTCGGCGTCGAGGTCATCATCCTGGCGCATTCGCGCAACAACAATAGAGTGAGTCCAGTCTAGCCCCCATGCAAAGTTGCTCTCGTCCAAGCCTCTCCTCCTCTCCTGCACCTCGTCTTCCAATTCGTCGTCCGCGGCGCCGCAGAAGGCCGCCTGGTTTCCCGGCTCGTCCTTGGAGCCGTACAGCAGCTCGAGCGTCCCGCCCGTACGGGCGACACTCAGGTACTCGTTGTCCTTGTCCTGGGTGAAGGGGACGCCCTTGGCAGAGGTGAAGAAGATGGATCCCCAGCTGTCGTTGCCGATCTTTGAGAGGTTGGAGACAACTTCCTTCCTCAGGTCGCTGACCTTGAGCATCGCCAGCCCCTTCTGATTCGAATTCCAGTTCCCAACCTTGATTGGGCCAACCACGAACTCGAGGCCGGCGGTACCCTGCATCGGGCCAAATAGGCGGAGGCCGTCCTTCGTCTTCTCGGTCAGCTCCGCCTTGCGGAGGATAATCGAGCGGCTGTATGGGGCGCTTTGCCCCCGGGGGGCCCTTTGGGGCCCCTCCAGGGGGCGACCCCTCCGGGGAGGCCGGCCCTCCCCGTGCCGGTTCTCCCCAACCAACCCCGCCGGCAGCGCGAGCTGCCGGCCATATTGAGCGGTTCAACCGCGTCGCGCACTCGTCCCAACCGAGGGCCGCAGACTCGTTCTGCGCGCCAACGGCTGGTGACGCTGTGTTGCCCTTGAGCTAGTCCTTCCCCGGTCGCCTAGCCTCTGCGCTGTCTGGCGGACGCCTGTATGCCATGCACGCGGACCACGCTTGCGTGGATACGTGGCTGGCAGGCAGACCCGTGTGCGGGGTAACCCGCGCACGGGGAAGCTTCACGGGTTCGAGCCGTCAAACATTGAGCAGCGGAGGTGTGCCGAGGGGGACCGGGAGGCGGTAAGCCGTCGTCGCCCGGCGCTGCATGCAGCACCGTGGCGATGGCGCTAAGAGGTTCCTCTTTTCCGCGCCCCCCCCGCAAGGCGCGCGATACACACGGGTCTCGGATTTCAAGATTAGAGACCCCTGGAGAGCTAACGAAGTGGCAAAAACAGGCTCTCAGCGGCCGTAGAGTCTACCTCCGTTTCGGCCTGCCTGTCTGCGACGGCCGTCACTCCCCTCCCAATCCGTCGCTTTCCGTCACTTGGAAGCCGGGAAAGTTCCGCACCTCGTGTGTCACGCGGCCACTCCAGCGTTGGGGTATGACGCGCACCATGCTCGAGGCCGCCACCGCCTCCACCGTCCCCAAAACGAAGTGGGGCGTGAACCTCCAGCGCAGCATGCGCCATGCAACCTCCTACGAGTGCGTGGTCAAAGATGTCCAGCGCGCACAGCGCAACGCGCGCACTCCCGTCCCCCCGATTCCAGGCAACGCATACCCGACAGTTGCGGAGGGCATCGACTTTGTGCTCGGCTGCCTCCAGAAGATGGGCGCAGACCGCGATACGCTCAAGATCGAAGCGCAGACACTGTGTCTGCTTGGCGACTACTACGAGGACTGGGTGCTCAATACCTCGTGGCGTCGCGTCAGCCTCGAGCCCCGCGAGGCGACCGACCACGGCTCGCCCTCCATCGGCGCCGCCACCGCCGCGACCACGCCGAAGCGGCGCCGCGACCCGGCGGTCACGGCCGTCGCGACGGTGAGCGTCGCGACGCAAGTCTCCGGCCCGCCCGCCGCCACGCGGGCGCCGGCAAAGCGGCGCAGACTCGACTCTGCCATTCCGTACGTCATGGCGGACGGCTCGATCGACACCAAGATCTTCGACTCATGCCACCGCATCTCGCGCCGTGCGACCGACCACTGGTTCGGGCTCATGGCAAATCTGACCGACGGGCGCTTCTTCTAGGCCGAGAGAGAGGGCCCAAGCCGCACGAGGATCCACAACAAGAGTGTCGGGCCGCGGCGCGTGTAGGGTGTGACGGTAACATGTACATGTATTAAACAACGCAAGAAACAACATGCTCAGGCAGAAATAGTACACTCTTCAATAGATGTGATGCGGCGCCGCAGCTGCCCGCTTTCCCAGCTGTCGACACCGGTCAGGTCCGGGTACCAGTCTCGTGGATGCATGGGAGAGGTGATGATGACGCGTTTGATGCGGGACTCCTTCATGCCGCCCTTGACCTGAAGCTGGTACGGGTATTTGTCAAGCATGGTGAGAAGGAAACCGTAATCCAGCTGGCCTCGGTACTTGGCAAGAGAGAGGAAGCAGCATGCCCAGCGCGATCGGTCGGTATGCGCGAGAGCCGTGAAAGGTAACGGGAGATTGAGAGGCGCTGGGAGGCGAGCACACTGGCACGTTGACGAGGAGGCAGATGCGGGGCGGTCGACACATGCAATGTGGAACCTGGCGTGTGGCCTCTCGCGCCTCGTTGACTGGCCGCTGCACCGTTCGCGGATAAACCTGCGGTGACGAGATGCACGTTGCCAGTCGACGTCACCGTCAGGTGGGGTGGGCTGTGTGTGGCGAGGCGAGGAGGAATATGGAGGGGGCGGGTGGGCGAAGCTACCGCTCGACCGTTCCGGGGAGGCCGGTGCGGGAAGAAAAACGAAAAACGACGGCCTTCGAAAAACACACGTGAGAAAGAAAGAATTTAAACAAAACACGTCGCTCTCACAGCAGACAGGCTCGACCCACGTGCGAAAGATAGAAACACAGCAGGCTTTTGTCCGCTGGCCTCTGGGAGATAGGGCTCCCAGACTTGTTTTCTTTTTTCTCTGAAGTGACGGACGGTTCGAAGTGACGGCTTCCAAGTGACGGCCTCTGGAAACTTCCAAGCAGCAGTCACTTCGAAGTGACGGCCCGTCGACGTGGCATCTGACGACCGCCCTTGGCGACGGGCCAAAAGTGACGGCTTATGGCGGCCTCAGTCTGTGCGACCTGGCAGGTTCCTGAGGTGCACGTGTTTCACGGGGCAAGTTGCACGGGTAAGACGTTTCGCGCAGATCAAATGACCGGCAGCGACGTGTACAAGTGTACTGGTAGTCGGACATGCCTGCGCCGCTACAGCGGGCAGGCAGACGTCTTTCTCGATGATTACTGCGGCGAATTGCCTGTCCATCTGCTCCTCGTCCTGCTGGATGGAAGGGATGCATATTCCCAATGCCGACGAGTTGTGATCACCTCAAACGCTCCTCCCGAGAGGTGGTATCCAGACCTCGAGGACAGCACAAAGAGCTCTTCTGCGCCGCTTGGGCCGTCTAGCCAGTGACCAATCGCTCGGGTACACCCACATCACAACCACGCACACGTGACGCCTCTCATTACGGCTCTGTACCAACCGCGGTCCAGTTGAGTTGGTTGCGTCGCTCAGAGCCGTACTGGTGTGAGCCGTGACTGGTGTATGAAGCGCACGCTGAGGCCGAAATAGACCGTGTAAGGAAGTGAAAATGGTACGCGCAAAGAATGTGAACCTTGATAGAAAATGTAATTTGATGATGCATACAGCAGCAAACATGACACAACCTCGAGAGCAGTCTCTGTCATGGGGCCCGCCTACTCCAATACGCAATGCAGAACGCTACACTTCTACTGCAAAACAATGACTTGCGAGGCAGCCCGAGCGCGAGCGGTCGCCATCTCGGCCTGTGCGCGCGTCTGCAGTGACTTGAAGCGTGCAATGATGGCCCAGATCGAGTTGTCCAGGACGCTGCGCGGCACGCTCTCCTTCAGGATGTCGGCCGCGAGGATCTCCAGCCAGCGCACCTCCTTCAGGACCAGCTCGCGCTCCTTGTCACGCGCTTGGAACAACTTGTGTTGCGCCTCGCGGATACCCTTCTTTTCGTTCTCGACCCGCCGCAGCTTCTCCTTGACGGTCCCGAGCTCGACTGCAATGCCGTTCTTCTCCCTCAGCAGACTGCCCTCGTACACGCTCATCGCGCCGATCTGCGCCTCGAGACCCGCAACCTTGCCCGCCGCCACCTGGTGCATGCCAGTCTCGAGAGAAAGTGACGACTCCAAGTCGGCGATGGTGGCGGCCTGCTCAGCGATCTTGGTCTTGGCCGCCTCGAAGTCCTGCGAACGATGGGAGCAGCTGTGAGGCGCGAGCTCTCACAGTGACGACAATCGGCTACGGCAACTAGGGCAGACCTCCGCTGGAAAGAGCGTGCGAGCCGCCTTGCGCGGCTCGGGCTGGCCGTCACCGTTGCTGGAATCGCTCGCGGCTGTCGGTACCGGTCGCTTCTTTGACTCAACCGGCGGAGTCTTGACGTCATTGGTGGTCTGTGGCGCGGGTGCCGACCCGACGCAGGGCTTGACAGTTGCGACGACCGCTACGGGCTCACCGGCGAGCGACGGGCGAGCCGTGGAGCTCACGTGAGAGCCAGCGCCGGTGGGGTCAACGCCCGCCACCACCATAGGCGGCTTTGAGTCACCGGGCTGCGTCATCACGCGCTGCGGTTCACCCACGAGGACCGTCGATGCGAAACTTCCCGGCCCTCCAAGTGACGGTTTTTGGCCCGAAGTGACGGCAAAGTGACGGTTTTCGCGGCAAGTGGCGGATTGCGCACGACACACCGCTATAATCTAGCAGTAGCTCTTGCTGCTGTTGCAGCTGCGGCAGGCAGCAAAAGATGTGCGATGTGCGAGTCACTCGTTGCGACTCCTCCGCTCCGTCGGCCGTGGTGATGCTCTTCGGCTGGCTCGGCGCCACTCACTCGCAGCTGAAAGAGTATTCGATGTTGTACCACGACGGTGGCGCCTGCACCGTGCGCGCCACCGCCAGCATGCTGGACACCATGCGGACACCACGGCTTCTCGCGACGGGGCTCGCGGTGCTCCGAGCTGCGGCGGCTCTCCTAGCCTCTCTCCCTCCCTGCACGCCGCTCGTCGTCCACGTCTTCAGCGGCGGCGGCGCCCTGGTGTGGGAGGCCCTCCGCGACGCCAGCTTTGCCGTCGGCGACGGCTGCTTTGACGGCTCCGCCTCCGACGCGGCCCTGCTCCGCCTCCTCCGCCGCCGCGTCCGAGCCGAGATCTTTGACTCCGCGCCGTGCCGCCCGCTGTTTGGCGCCGCCGCCGTGACGGCGCGGCCTGCGTGCGCACGCTGGCTATTGCTGCAGCTGCTGCTCGTGCTAGAGCTGCTCTGCCTCGCCCTCCTCTCGCCCTTCTCGTCCCGCCGCCGCCACTTCGAGACGTACTGGCGGCGCGGCGCGGTGGCGGCCGGCTGCGCCTCCCTCTACCTCTACTCGCGCGCGGACCGGGCGTGCCGTGCGGCGGAGCTGGAGTCGCTCCTCGAGGCGCGTCGCGCGGCCTGCGCGCCGGCGCCGGCGGCGGGCCCCCTCCTGCCTCCCTTCCCGGTGGCGACGGCGGAGGACGCGCAGTCGCTGCTGCTCGAGGCCTGCCGCGAGGGATCCGCCGCCGCCGCCGCCGCCGCGCTCGCCGCGGGCGCAAGCGCGGCCGAGGCGGACGGGCTCGGCAACACACCGCTGCACGTCGCGGCTACGCGCGGCTGCTAGATGCGGACCCGCCCTCCCTATCCCCGGGCATGCGCTCGACGACGCGTAGCATGCTCCGTGCTCTTTGTACTCGCAGCCCTTGCCTTCCGCGAGACGCAGGCGTGCGATGCACGATGCTCTGTCCATACCCGCGGGTCCAAACTCTAGGCACGGCTCGCTCGGGCTGCTTGGGCCGCTGCAAGGCGCGGGCGCCAGCGTTGCCGCGCGGAACGGCGCCGGCCGGACGCCGCTGCAGGCGCCGAGAGGCTCGGCGAGAAGCGCACTGCGGCGCTGCTCCGAGGCCTCGAGGCGGGGGAAAGCGCGGATGGCGGCGGCGGTGGCGGCGGCGGCGGCGGCGGCGGCGGCGGCGGCGGCGGCGGCGGCGGCGGCGGCGGCGGGGTGGCGGACGAGGGCGAGAGCGAGAGCGGGAGCGAGAGCGGGAGCGAGAGCGAGCCCGAGGACGAGGAGGAGGACGGCCCCGTCTACGCGCTCCGCTTTGAGGGCTCGGCGCACGTGCAGCACATGCGCGCCGGCCCTTCGCGGTACGCCGCCGCGTGTTTGCGTATGTGCCGCGAGGGGGGGCAGCAGGCGCGTGGCAGCAGCGGTGCAGCAGCAGTTCGTATGGCATTGACTGCTTGATTGTTGTGTATTTTGTGGCAACTCACACCCAGGGCCGGGGAGCTCTATATGAAGCGCGCACCCACAGGCCACACAGCACCTTCCCCTTCCCCGGGGGGGGGGGGGGGTATCAATTACCAAAAGCTGCCAGCCCATTTCACCGCACACTGCGCAAAGGACCCCACCAACCAACCAACTGTTTCCGGGCGGCACGGCAGAGTGCGCGAAGAAGTGCGGGACCAGCCAACCAACCTCCTGGGCCGGCCAGGGTCCTCCTGCCAGAGTCCAGAGAGGGGTGCCCACGGGTCAAAAAAACTTCTTCGCTCCGCGTCGATTCAACACGCAAGGTCGTAACGGGGGAATCCTTCGTTCCCCTGGCAACCCAGCGCGTCTACAGGCCACTGTGACCCTCCTGACGCAATTTCAGGATGGACAGTGGTGATAGGATGGATCTGGGAGCCTGAAGTGTGAAGAGGCGTGAAATAGCCCACATTTTGACCCATTTTGATGTGAGTGCGCGAAGTCGGGACCAACCAACCTAGAGTGGGGGCCAACCAACCAACCAAGCCGCGCGAGACCATAATTTCTTTTTGCGCGGCTCCGTCTCGGAAGGCTTCGCTGCTATGGACATGGAGCCTGCGGTCCTCGTGGCCGCGGTCATCGTTATCCTCTCCATTGTCTTCCTCGTCTCGATGCGCGGCGGCGGCGGCGGCAAGCCTCGGGGCGCCAAGTTCCTCAACAAGTCGCGGCAGACGGTCACGCTCGGCGAGCGCACCAACATCTCGCACGACACGGTGCGGTTCCGCTTTGTGCTCCCGGACGCGACCCCGGTGCTCGGCCTACCCGTCGGCAAGCACTTCAAACTCTTTGCGCCCGCGCCAAAGGGAGTCGTCGACGGCCAGTGGAACGGCCGCGACGACCCCGAGGACGGGGAGAAGGAGATCGAGCGCAAGTACACGCCGACGACGTCGGACGACGAGGTGGGGTACGTCGACCTGGTGATCAAGGTGTACAAGGGCGGCGTGATCGACCGCTTCCCGGACGGCGGCAAGATGTCACAGGCGCGTGACACTTCCGATAAGCTTCTGCCGCTCTCGCGGCCCGCTCCCGCGCCCGCGAGAGGGCTGCGATTCCTCGACACACCGTCCGGACGCGCTCCCTCGGTGCTGATGGTTCAGAAGACGCGCAATTTACAGCGTTACTGGAACCAACCTCGCCGCCGCGCACTGCCGCGCGCCGCTCCCCTCCCCAGCCTTGCCCCAGCCCGACCCGCCCGAGGCCCGGCTCTCGCCCGCCCGCAGTACATGGACTCGCTCAAGGTCGGCGACACGATGGACATCCAAGGGCCGATCGGGATGCACGAGTACCTCGGGGCCGGCCGGTTCAAGAGCGGCAGCAAGGAGCTGGCCTGCAAGCGGCTGGGGATGATGGCGGGCGGGACCGGCATCACGCCCATGCTGCAGGCGACGGCCCCCAACCCGCTCCTCCTCCTATCCCCTCTCCTCTCCTCCCCCACACCCCTTCTCCTACCCTCCTCCTCCTCCTCCTGTCTCCCCTCCTCCCGCCCTTCCCCGCGACGCCGCGACGACACCCAGCTGCTCTCCACGCCCAGCCGCGCCGCCGCCGCCGCAGGTCATGGCGGCCATCCTCAAAGACCCGTCAGACAAGACTCAGATCTCGCTGCTGTACGCCAACCAGACAGAGTCCGACATCCTCGTCCGCGACATGCTCGACGAGCTCGCCGCGAAGCACGCCTCGCGCCTCAAGGCTCGCACCTCACGCCGCCGACCGCCGCCCAGCGCCGCCGCCGCCGCCGCCGCCACCGCCGCCGCCGCCGCCGCCGCCGCCGCCGCCGCCGCCGCCGCCGCGGCGCCGCCGCCGCACGCACACACGCACACACACGAATGCGCAACACGCACACGCACACGCACACGCAACCTCGGCTGACCTCGGCTGACCTCGGCTGACCTCCGCTGACCTCGGCTGACCTCGGCTGACCTCGGCTGACCTGCCCAGGTGCACTACACGCTCGACCGGCCGCCCGCCGGCTGGAAGTTCTCGTCTGGCTTCATCACCGAGGAGATGATCTCGGAGCACCTGCCCCCTCCCGCCGACGACACACTCGTCCTCATGCGAGAGAGACTAGCCGAGACTAGCCGAGACTAGCCGAGACTAGCCGAGACTAGCCGAGGCTAGCCGAGAGGCGGCAGACAGTTCAAGGACACGTCCGCGACACCCCTGCAGGTGCGGCCCGCCGCCCATGATCAAGTTTGCGTGCATAGCCAACCTCGACAAGCTCGGCTACAGCAAGAAGTCGTACGTCGCCTTCTGAGGGATGGTTGACGGCGGCGCTCATGTCGCCAGCGCATTTGCGCAATGCCCGCCGTGGCGCCTCCGCGGGGAGGGTGCCCGACTCCGCGCAGGTCTGCTCGCGCCGCTCCCGCCCAGCCCGCCGCCGCATTCTGCTCTGGAGCATGCCCCACGTCACGCCACGCGCCCACCACGCCTCCTCACGCTCTGTCGCGGTCCGGTTGAGCTCTCCGCCCTCACTCCATCCTCCCCAGCCCCTTGAGAGCGCTCGCGAGCCTGTCGTTGGCGCTCGTTCCTCGTGTTGGTCGAACACTATCAGTGCTGTACATAGAGCTACCCACCCCCGTTTCCTTTTGTGCGGCTTCCCCTTGCCGTAATGCGTAAACATAAAAAAGAGCGAGAAGCGGGACGAATCGCCCGCCAAAGAGCGAATCCCGCGCGCCGCGGGAAATCGGCCCGCCCGTGTGGTGTAAGCAAAGTAAGCCCCGTGTCGGGTTACTTAGTGTCCTGCCCACACAAAAAGAACCCTGCACAAAGTCGGCCCGGAGGGCGGGGGCGCAGGTAGAGGTAGGGCTGGCGTGGGGGTCCTCAGGTAAAGGTAAACCTGTCTCAGACCGCCGGAGGTAGAGGTAAACGGAGCCCACGTGAGGGGAGGTAAACGTACGCGTGAACGTGCCCTGCTGAGGGCTCCCCCGGACGCGCACGCAAGGCCCCGCGAAGGCCCCGCGAGAGCGCTTCGCCTGCGGCGCGCCTGCCCGGCCATGGACCAGGCTTCACCGCCGCTTGCCGGCGGCTGATCGCATCGCCTACCGCATCGCGAATGACCAGTGCCGCGACCACTTGACCTTGCACTGCCTGCCTGCTGACCCGGTGCAAAGAATCTGCGTCTCAGCTCTTCGGCGCATTGATTGTGCATGATTGCTCGAGTGGCTCGAATTGGCATCCACCGCAATGCGAACATGACTGGAGAGCATATGCAACACGGACGCAGGCTTGCCGTTTGCGGCGTCGGTTATCAGAGGGGTCAGGTCATAGTGACGCGCTCGATGGGTTGCTGCATTGACGCAGACAGCAGAAGCATCGCAGCGGAGACCTTCTTATGAGTGGCGGCTCGCACCATGCGGCAGTGCGGACACCAGGTGCGTGGTTTAAGAGCCATTTCGATTTTGTGGTTTTTCAATTTATGTATTTTTAGCTTACTGGGAGAAAAGAGAGAGGTCTCTCTCTCTCAGTGTATGTGGCTCTTACGTACATTCCCGTAGGAGGACTCTGCTGACAGGGTTTGCGATGAGGAGCGACCCGAAGGGTTTCTCGTTTTTTGGCACTGTCTACCAACTTTGGTACAAATCGACTTGGTCTGGGCACTGACAGCTGAGCCCTGCGTTGTGTTTGAAAGTGTAGAAGGGAAGGCAGCATGTCAGGCTGCGACAGCGTTTAGAGCGGATGGCGCCGAGGAGAGACCATTTTGCATTTATGTATGTAAAAGAGGAATGCAGAAGATTGGACAGTGGAGGGACGCGGCCAGAAAGAGGGCGGGCGCCGAGTTAGTTTCGAAAGCCGGCGCTTTCGCGCGTTCGAAGGGGCTTTGTTGTGGAATTTGTGCAAAATGGACAAAATTTGCGCGCGAAAGCCGAAGAGGCACCGCAGGCGGCGTGTGTGCACGAGGGCGGCGGCGTCGAGCGCCGAGCAGCACACCACGAGCGCGAGCGGCAGCGCCGACAACGGGAGGCGGCGGGCGGCTCGACCGAGCCGGCGGCGGAGGAGGCGACGGACGTCGAGGCGGTGAGCGCCGCGGACGTCCTGGCCGGCGTGGAGGAGAGCGGCCCGAACTACGCCCTTCCGACGGCGAGGGACGGCCGGAGGGAGCGGCGGGAGCGGCTGCGGGTGGACGAGACGGCGAAGCAGGCGGGGCACACCATCGTGGAGACGGGAACGCACGTCGAGATCCTGGGTGAGCAAGGCTTGTGGTGGCCGGCCACCATCGCGGGGCGGGAGGAGGACGTGGACGGCCGGCTCGTGCACGAGGTCGAATACGACGGCTGCCAGGGCGAGCAGTACTGGCACATGCTTGACGACGAGCAGTGGCGGCGCGCGACCGCGATGCCGACGCCAGCCAACGGCACGAATGCGGCGGCCTCCACCGAGGGCGAGGAGAGCGGCGGCGAGGAGGGCGGCGGCGAGGAGAGCGGCGGCGAGGAGGACGCAGTCGCCACGGGGACGCGAGCGGGCGCGCATCGCCG